AAGGGGACGTCCAACACCACTCAAAGCGGCATGGGATGGAGAACGGGAGTGCAGACAGGAGCGCACTTTCCAAGGTGCATCAGAGAGGGCCTTTTCTATTTTAAGAGCTGTTAGAAAACCAATCCGTCATAAAGGGGGTGGGGCTGTAAACCTCTCCTTTGGAGATTTTTAGGAAAAGAAATCTATGTTTTTAGATTTAGGGATATTCTTGTTTGGACGTAGAGGGGTTAACCAGATGATCCTTTTGAAAGCTTTCTTTTTAAATGATTTAGTGGTTTGTGTGGGTGTAGCTCCAGAATATGTGTGTGTTCACAAATTTTAACATACACACACACACACACACACATATGGATGCACACACAATTCTGCTGAAGGTGCAGAAGCAGCCAGGGGTGGGAGGCCCAGCTACGGGCACACCTCCATGCCAACCTTACCCGGCCAACTGTTGTGCCATCATCCTAGTGCCCTCCCATTCTGCCATGTCACAAGGGAAGAAATGGAAATGCGGAAATGCTTGTGAGTCACCAGCTGCAGAGGTGGATAAAGAGAACCGGTGGAGGCCCTCTGGCCCTCTAGCCGTCTATCACGCCTCTTGCGTTCCTTTGTCAAGGAGACTGGCAGCTCAGCTGTTTTCATTCCCTCTCCCCCTCGCCTGTGACCACTTCCACCTCCACATTTGTATTATTAACTAGTAGTAAAATGGACAGAATACTTGCTCTGACCCTTGTGTGTCTAGACCCCCACTGTCCAGTGTCAAAATAATATGAGAGTCAAAGGAATGCAGCATGATGGTCATTTCAGAACAGCATGTCTCAACTCATCTTCCTCAGTGCCAGAGTCAGGAGGTGGGATCTCCAGCAGCTTCCTGAAGTCCCTCTTTCTTCCTCCTACTTACTTCACATTCTGTAGCCCCAGCAAACCCCAGACTTGTCCCAGCCACCGCCTACCTGTTCCCCCCCCGCACTTCCCTCCTGATTCTGCATCACAAGCTGACTCCCAAACAGGTCAGGATCACGGACTTCCCAGAAAGGTGGGTGAAGGGAAGAACCAGGAGGCCAGAATTCATAGCAGCAGCTAGGAGGAGAAAGCCTGGGAAGATGTGTGGTCAGTGTCCGTTCCTCACACCTCTGTGTCTTGGTGCTGTCCTGGGCATTCTTCTGTGATGCCTCATATAATATAATCCTCACAATAGTCCTGTGTGATGGTACTGAGATCTTCATTTTACTGATGAAGAAACCAAAGTTAGAGAAGTTTAGTGACCTGCCTGGCATCGCATGATGCAGAGAATGCTAGGATTTGAGCATCAGAAAGTTAAACCTAGTGCCCAGGAAGCGTTCACGTCTGTCTAGTTAGGAAAACTGTACTTTTCACCTACATGATGCTGCCTCTACATAATTCAAACTCCAGACTCAATGTTATTTCATTGCCAAATTATCAGACGAATTCTTTGGTGTTTATATCAAGGCAGTTAAAACTGTTTCTAGCTAAGATCTAGAAAGCACAGTAGCTGGAAAAAAGCATGTCCTCCCGAAGGCTTGGGTGGGGAAGCTCTGTCTTGCTTGAGCATGGAGAGCTGTCTGGGCCTCTCTGCCTGCAGTTCAGAGAGGTCCCAGCAAGCCCCGCGGACCTCTGCTCCCATGTGTCCGAGGTGACAGCTTTCTGACTCTTCAGTCTGTGGCAAATTTTACCACCAGTGGGAATGCTAATGGGAGGCCTGGCCATCTGAGGACATGCCTGCAAGGCACCGAGGGGAGTTCAGGGGAGCTTTTAGAAACCCTGGACATTTGAAGCAGCCCTTTGCCACAAGTATAAAATGAAGATGCCTTCTAATGAATGCACTGGCTCAGTGTATGAACCTGTGAACATGACACAGATAAGAACCCTAGAGGTGAGGCTCTACAAGAGTGTATTTTGAGACTGCATGGTGATACCTTGACTGAAAGGTCATGTTAATTTGGGCAGGGAGTGGTGGAAGGGAAAGGGTCCAGCGTGGAAGAAGGAACAAAAGACCAGAGAAGGAAAATGACTAAACCCAAACCTAAGCAGATGGAAGAGATTCAGAGTAGGGAGTGGGCTCAATAAGGAAAACCAGTGAGAAAAGCATGCAGATGAGGCCAACTGGAGCAGGTCTGTATGCGGACTGAAACGAGGAGCACAAGACAGATCGAAAGACAGAAGTTGAGGCACTGTGGGCAGCCATCAGTGCAGACGAGGTACAATACAGGCAGGCTTCTCTGCTTTTCTTCTCATTGACGATGGTGGTGTCAAGACTTCCCTAAATGTCAACAGAAAGTGAAGCCCAGTGTGAGAGAATGTTTACTGTGGTCTCTCTTCCACATCCTGAGATTGGGTTTGTTGCCTTAGAAGGAAAACTTACATCATCCCAGCTACCCCTCACTAAATTGTGAAGACCAGGGCAAAGGGACAGGAGCTTAAAATAGATCCTATGCCAGTGGCCCACCCAGTGATGTCATCACAGTTGAGTCATTATCAAGAGCATTCACGTCTTACCATGGATGTTTCTCAACTTTCCAGAGTTTGCACTGAAGATTTTTCAGAGATCTTGCTCCCCCGGGGGAGTATACCAACTTTGATCCTTTTCCAGGGAGAGTACTGTGCTTTTCAGACTCCTTTCCTGGTACGAAGGGTTACTTGACTCCTGAGTGTTCTGTATTCACAATTGACCACTTTATGTACTTCTTGCCCTCAGTTCCTAAAGCATGGTAATATGATGAACTAATTAAAAATAGCATTCTAATGAAATTGTTGAGCGTGTTGTTATAATGTAAGTCAACTGCAAATGGGAAGTTCTTTTCTCAGGAAGTTTGATAAGCTGAAAGTCAGCTTGAGTGTTTATAAGTATTCGGTGAGAAGTTTTTGTTCTTCCTCATGTTTTCCTTTTCAGAATTACCAGTTACTTTGGGCTTCCCACCCAGACACATATTTTAACACTTGTAGCAGTTCGCTGAGGCCTGTTGTGTTAGCATGACACAAGAGTTTGGATCAAACGTTTACCAGCAGAGAGGCAAGTGTGTGGAGTCCTGAAGGAAAACAGAGCAAGCCTTTCTCATTCAGACGCTGAACATTGCAAGAGTAAGGACGAGGGGTGGTTCTCATCTGTTCGGTCCTGCCCTTAGCTTCTCAACATGTGAAACGCTCTTATTCTTTAAAAAAGGAGGGAAAGGTATATGTTTTTTTTCTTTACTTTTTCTCCTCACTGGCAGACCCCCAGAGTTCCAGTGCTTGAGGTGGCCCAGACATATTTTGCCTAGTCTAGTGTCTTTAAACATTTTGAGCCAGCATTTAAAAGTCAGGATGTGTCACTTTTTTTTAAACTCCAGATTTATGGCTTCTCTTTAAAAACAGGATGATCCAGCAGCACTGAGCCAATGTCACTTCTCGGCAGCCATTGCTGGGGTGGCACCGCATAGTGACCGCCCTTGCAGGTGGTCTCCAAGCCCTCTGCCTGGCTCCTGTGCATCCCCATACCTGTAGTCCACAGCCACAGTGTTTGGTGCCATCCATAGTCACATGTGCACTGTGGATTTGTATAAAATTGACAAGAGTTTTTCTGTGCCCGTCTGGTCATGTGGACCGAGACAGAGTGGGCTGCGTAAGTCCTCTGACTCCAGCTGCCTCCACTCACGTGTGACCTGCCCTGAGGCTTTTGGCTTGCACCTGCTACTCACGCCCTCACACCTCATGCTCACTCGGCTTCTGTCTTCCTTCCACTGCCCTGTTCCACTGAGACAGCCATGTGCCACATTCGAGAATGCTCTTGGTGTTTGGTAAGGCCCCTCCTGGTGCTCACCCTCCTCTCCCTCCCAGAGGTTGCTGGTGGGGTGACCAGGGCTCCCGCTCAGCGGCATCTGCCAGCATCCATGGCTCACTGTCCTCTGAATTTCTTCCACTTCTAGCTCCTCTCTCAGTCTCCTTTGCAGCCTCAATCCTTGCTGTTTTTTTTCAATTATTATTTTTTCTTCAATATTTAAACGTTACATGAACATATAGATTATTTTTTAAATTCATTTTAAAACACAGAGATATGTAAAGATAAAGTCTTTTTTTAAAACCATTTTTCTTCTAGATCCCTTTCCAGAGTGAACCGGGGTTAACCCCGGATAGGTCACCTTTCCTGACCCTTTTCCACGTAATCTGGTTTGTTCGTTGATGTTTAACATAAGTAGGACCATTTTATAGCTACTGATCTTTAACAAGAGAGGAGACCCTCTCAGATTGCTTAAACCCATTTTATGATCTGCCAGCTACTTAAATGTTGGTGTTTCCCAGCATAGCATTTGGAACAATTACAGTACTTATCACATTATTGTTTTTGTGACTACGTTTCTATTTTCCCTAAGACTGAGCTGGTAGAGACAATGTCTCTTCATATTCTTCTATAAATACATTTCAGTGAATGAATGAATGAATGTTGGTATTTTTGCCCATTCAGTTAGATCATTCTAACTTATATTACGCAGAAATATTAAATTATATCATAATGTAAATTCAAACTTAACTATCTCAAGCTCTGTAGTAAACATATTAGTATAATTATTATACAGTATAGTTAAGCTATCTCTCAGATCATTTCCTAACAGCAATATATTAATTTTGTTTTCTGCATGAAGATCACGCTACTATTCAAGAGAGAATTCTGTACCCCACTTGTTTTGGTTGAGAGAAGTGTTGCTGGCTGGTTGTTTTTGCTTTGTATATTTTCAGCATGTGTGTGTGCTTTGGCATCTTGCCAAGGCAGATAGTATTTTGTATGCAATTCATTCCACATAAAAGTATCATTTGTCTTTAAAGGGACTGTAAATGCATAATGGTTGTATAAAGAGAATTGCCTTAATACAGCATCTCTTTAGTAGGAGAGCCGTCGAGGCTTATGAAGTGAGCCTTGTCAGATACAATTTGAGCTCTCTTGCAGAGGTTCCTATTCAGCATCATGCTGCTGCTAATAGCCCTAATTTAAGGAGAAACCAATGAAAACATGTATCATCTGATAGCTGTGGGATGCCATCCAAGCTTGTGTCATGATCCGTAATGTTCCTGGGTTTGTGGGGTAAGGAGACAAACAGTTGGGTATTTGGAATTTATTCTTGAGCCGTTTGTGTTGGAGCAGATGAGTTTCTTACTCTTGAGATGGAATGAGACTTTTAAATACTTGTAATAACTCTTGTCACCAGATGCTCTGCAGGAGACACTAAGGGTGAGTGTTTGAGAATAATATTCTTAAAATTTATTTGGGTATGCTTTTTTTTTAAGTTGGGGAGATGAGACTAATCTGAGATCAGTAGTGAGCTGAAATCAGTTGGTCACTAACAGTCCATATCAATACGTGAACCCTCCTTGCACAAATCTGAGAAATGTGTAAACAAACACAAGCTAGACAGAAAGAAAAAGGATGCTACATAAATGCCCGTGTCTGTACAACTGACTTTCGACCTGAGTGGTTAATCCAGGAGCTAAAAAGCCCTATTGGACGGCAGCTCCAGTGCTGTGTTGTAAAGACAGTTTACGAGAAGTAAGGATATTCTATTTCAGGGACTGTCATAAAATAACAATCCAAGAATTCGTTGTAGACTTAAAGTGATTGCATATTAAAAAAGAAGAAATTAGTGCTGCAATAATAGTTCGAATGACTTCAACAAGGAACAGCACATAAATAAAATGATTTTTCCCATATGGATCCCTTGCATTTGTGGGTATACTATAGTTTACTGGAGTTTATTTAAAAGTTGGAATAACAGTTCAGATGACTTCAGCAAGGAACAGAACATAAATCAAATGACTTTGCCCATATGGATCCCTTGCAGGTGCAGGTGTTCTAGAGTTCACAGACTCCTTTGGGGGAATGTTTCCTTTTCTCTACACTAAATTCTAATGAAAATTACAAGCCTTTTGATACTGAATCTCCAGGATGGCAGGTGGCAACCTGCCTGGATACAGGAGATGAAGGAAAGTGAGGAGAGGACACACATCTCAGATTGTAAAGGGCACTAAAGGGGCAGTATGGGGGAGAGGTGACTGAACCCAGCGGCTGAAGAAGTAAATGAAGGGGGGAAGCTGATGGACTGGAGGGAAGAGGTGAAGGGGGAAGGTGATGGACTGGAGGGAAGAAGTAAGGAGGAAAGCTGATGGACTGACCAGAGGGAAGAGGTGAAGGGGGAAGGTGATGGACTGGAGGGCAGGCCTAAATGACTGGGAAACTCAAGGGTCAAATGATGCCTATAAGTCAGTAGCTGCCACTATTTTACAATTTAGAGAAATAGCCATGTGACAGCATGGATCATGTTCTGAGTTGTTTATTTGCAGTTTGTTGAATTTTACATCCCTCAGGAAATAGCTGTGGCTCAGACGCAGACAGCTCTGGGTAGATGAGGCACATGACCACAGCCTAGGAGAGAACTTGTCAGCGGTGACCGCAGCAAGGCCAAACATCAGGTGCTGTCACGTTACCCGGGTGGAACTGGGCCCTTGAGGCAGGCTGTGGGTGTCCGGCAGCAAACTCGACTGGGCTGGCCAAGCCTCTCATAGATCAGTGAGACTGGCATCAAACTAGTGTGATTACAAATGATCACTAACCCTGAAAACACAAAGCAGTGCTCATGCCAGTAGGATTGCCTTCACTAATAAGTGTGCCTTTCTTAAAAGACTATTTGTAACATTAAGCCCATAATCGGCTTGGTCAGATCAAGCCAGCCACCTTTATGCCTGAGATGCTTGGGCTGCTTTGTTTGTTAGGTGGTGCTGCTGCTGTCCTGGACTGATGTTACACCCAGGCATCACAGGATGGAAGCAGTAGATGTGTGTGTTCTCTCACCGCAGTCCATCTCTGTTTCTCTTGGCCCTCTATCTTGCCATCTCTGTGCAGGATCATCTGGGGAAAAATGCAAGACCAAAACGTATAGCTCATTCTTGGCTTGGTGAGCTCATGTGTCATCTTGACATGGCGTGAGATAAATGTCAGCAAATATCTGTAGTTCAGATAAACGGCATCCAGAGCAGGAGGACCATCAGTCATCAGGTCGTCTGTGTTCCCTTTGCCATTGTAACAGTTGGCTAGTTCTTCGGGGCACGTGTGTATAGATGCAGTGCTTGTTGGCCCTAACTCCCACTTTCATAGGCTGGCCAGGATCTCAGCCAGGCACTGTTGTAAGCAGACAGTGCCCCAGTGGAGGAATCACGCTGCTCTTGTTGGAATCCAAAGAGAGGCACTTTGTCATTTGTATTTTCTCCTGGATTGAAAACAAAAATTACCAGAAACCATTAGTTATTAATACAACTGTCCACTTTTGAATGCTACCCAGTATTAAGAAAAGCAAAGTGTCTTTGCCAGATAACTTGAGGTCTTTGTGTGTGGAGCTAACAGATGGAGTCCCTTGATGGTGAATGCACTTGGATGATACATGGTGAATGAGAGTGTCCTTGGGCTATGGGGGTCGGCTAGAAAGTTGACAAGGCTGGGTTCAGAAGGCTATGGACAAAGGAAGTCTAAGTGGTGGAAGAGCACGCATGAAGATTCTCTCTTCAGTCATGATGGCTACCAGGGCTTTTATTGCAACTGCTTTAAAATGGGTGTGCCTTGTGTTCATTTCATTTTGGGCATGTGACAGCAATAACTTGCAGAAAAGAGGACTTCCAGCATAGCAATACTTGAGAAATCAAGGGGAGAGAAATAAGCTTAAATTTTGTCCTGGGAATATTATTACTATTACTCAGGAGTATTGTCTCCATCCAGAGTTTGAGTGGTTGGGATACAAACTTAAAGAATAGGACTTCTCCCAATCACAGAAAATACATGGTTTGCTGGGGTTTCTTGTTTGTTTTTTAACTCTAAACAGTAAAGTATAAAGAAAAAATTGAAAAGTATTCAAATTTCATTTATGTTGTCCTTCTAGAAACCTGCACATACACACACAGATAGAAATATATGTGATTGTATGTAACTGGGGTGTGCTATAAAGGTTAGTCTAGAATCTGTTTTGATCACTTAATAAACTGCTTTAGACTCAATGCCATTGAAGAGTGTTTTACATCAAAAATTGCAATGCCTGTGTACAATTCACTTGCATAACTATATCCTACTAATGTATCCATGGTGCCATTCATTCGCCAAATATTTATCTTCAGTCCTGCCATGTAGTTGGCGCTATCCTAAATTCTGGGTACAGCAGCAAATTCCTCTATCAGTGGATATTTAGGTTTCACTGACTTTTCTGCATTATAAGCAACACTGCATTGAACATCCAACACTGCAACATATGTCTTTACATATTTAATTTTCTTTTTAGAGTAAGTTCCTAGGAGGAAAATTGGCTGCTTAAGGGGTTTACACATTTTGATTCACATTTATTGCCTAACCACTTTCTACTAAAAGTGCCACATGATGCCAGTTTTTCAATACTCTCATAATATTATTTTTATTGGCTATCATCTTTGCAAGCATGAGAGATGAAAAGTGATACTCTACTACTTTAACTCTGATTTTTTAGTGTGCTTAGAATGGGAGTTTTAACTACTAGGAAACTGTGACTTCCTGTGATCTATGGAGTACCGTTTTCTTTGAGTCTTAATTTTATTCTTCTCAAAAGGGAAGATTTTTTTTTTAAACTTTCTTCTTCAAGGTCAGGTTAGAATCAATGAGAGGGTTGTCTATTACAGATAATTGAAACCTCACTGAAAGGATATTGTATAAATATTATTGACTTAAATTTAGTTGATTTCAGCATCGTGTTACTATTATTAGAAATTTCAATCTAGTTGTCAGTATGTCTTGGGGAAGATCTATCCTTTGAGTTTAATCTCTGTCATTGCCTTTTGTTTTCAATAGATACCATAGTTTTGAAATTATTTTTTTTTAAAGGCATTTAAGAGGTACCTAAAAAAATTTATATTAAGGTAAATGCTTGGAAATATATTGTCTTCATTTAGCTTATCGCTGGGCTATGTATCATTTACATTTTTTAAAATACAGTTTCTTTTCTGGCCACAAGTGAAATTCAGTAGTAGCAGAATAAGTATGGCATGCCTGCTCCCCAAGTGTCCATCGCCTTGGTCTCTGCTCCCACCTTCGCAGGAATGATAACAGTGCCTACCTTGTGAAGCTGAGATTCTGTGAGATGCAGCATGTCCCACACTGCCTAGCACTTAGCATAATAAATATTATATTTAATAGTAAAGGAAATATTCACTAAATTAGGAGCCCTCCAAGAAAAGACTGTAATTCCTTTCCTGAATTCTACCACTCAAAGATGACCAGTGTCTCTGATCTTAGGAGTATTTTGTTCTAGTATTTTTTCTTCTCGATGTATATTTTGCAAAAGTCAGACCATACTAAACCACACTAAACCATAGCATTTTGAATCTCGGCAAATGTGTGTACTTAATAATTCAACAGTGAGAGGAAATGATTACCCTGATTTATTTTTTATACTGGCTTAATGGAGACTTTTGTTTGTGTTGATATTTATTTGTGATAAAATTTTACGAGATTAGAATGAAGATTAAGTGCAATCGGAAGACACTTTGGACAATTAAAACCATAAACATTTTGGTCCTCCTAATCCATTGTTCGAATCTGCTACTTCTTCAATCACAAGTGATGTGACTGGTTCCTCTGCTATTTGGAAAGATGCTTAGGCTGTTTCCGGAATGCAGGAGCCTGCAGCTGTAGCCATTTTGCACTGCTTCGGCTCCTGGGGGACACAGGGCCCTTGCAGTGGTGAATGTGGACTGCCTGACAGGTGCTGCTGGGAGCCTTCTGGGTCTTGTCCAGTGTGGAGGAGCTGAACTTCATTAGATACTTGTGTTACCAAATAGTGTCAAAATCACATTGTTGTTTATTGAATTTATTTTAAGGGAAACTAACTCTTCAAAGAAACCTACTGGAAAATCTCTTGAAACACACACACACACACACAAACGCACACATGCGCGCACACGCATTCACCCACATGCACACACACACAAAACTATGAATTCAACTTACCTGTCTGGCCTGTGTGAGACTGTCCAGGAATTCATCTTCCATGTCTTCTGAAAGTTGGGCCCTCATATCTGCTGTACACTCATGCTTGTATGTTCAACAGTCAAATCCTCCCTCGCACTTCTGCCTCCATACAGCAGATCTCTCATGTGAGCTCATTATAGTTGAAAAAGTCGTTTTTATTTCATTGCCATCTTCTACTTTTTTGTTATAGAAGAAGT